ATCCACTTCTGTATAGTTCCTTTCAAAGCTCAGGGCTCCAGGATTATCTTCTGTATCTCTGTCAATTGGTTTTTCTTTTCTTTGTTGAAGAGGGTCTGTCTGTGTCACTTGTCTGCCTATTCCTCCATCTTCTCACATTTCTTTAGAATTCTGGGTTTGCATCAAGTTTACGTGCAATTTATGATTACGAAATACCAGCTCTCCATAGAGGGCAAGGTTATAGCTGCCCCTTATGCTGGAAATACTGAAAGCAAAGCCTTATATAGACTACGATGTCCCTCTTTTGACATTTTCGTTTAAGAATGTTTGTTCAGCACTTTAGCTGTCTCACTTGTACCCCCCAGTGTCTCTTCAGCAAATTTGCCAACTTCATTTTCAACTCTAAGCTGGGAGCTCTGGTAGCATAGTGCCTAAGGCACTTGACTGCTAACCAGAAGGTTGGCGGTTCAATCTACTTCCATAGTGATACTGCCTTGGAAACCTAAGGAGGGGTCACTATGAGTCAGGTCTGACTCGACGGTACATAACAACAACAACAGCAACAACTGCAGTTATAGGGACATTGTCAGATTTTACCTTTGGAAGCCAAAGCTTAAATCACAGTCTAAACTTCTTTAGGAACTTGCCTCATCCGAGCGTGCCCGCCGACATGCCGAGCAGGAAAGGGATGAGCTGGCCGATGAGATCGCCAACAGTGCTTCTGGCAAGTGAGTCTCAGGCAGCAGGTGGGCAGGGCAAGGGTCCAGGAATCGGGGGTGCCCACCAGTCCTGCAGGCAACATTTGGGTCCCCTCCCCTTGGGCACAAAGGCTGCAGGTGTACTTTGGCATCTAGGAGTCAGTTCCATTCAAGGTAGAGAGACCAGCATGAGACACTCAGCTTGGGGTCTGCAGGCCACACCTCCTAGTGTTGGCCCTCTAGCAGCCTTGAACATAATAGGTGTGACACAACTACATTTGGAACTAACCCTGGTTTCCTAGACTGCCTTCCCTGAAATACAAATCTTCACTTTAAAATTCGTTAGGGTTAGAAAGCAGATTCCTCAAACATGAGCACTCTCTGAATTCATTTGTCACTAAGAGTCATCATTATTATCTCTTCTGCCAGTGAATAAATCGACTGCTCCATTTAGTGACGGTACTGAATAGTCATAATGTAGTAACAAAGGGCAAAGCACATCTGGTAGTGGTGCCGTGATGGAGTTGGGATTGTAACTCTCAGTGCCCTGGAAAACAATTAGGGGGTTTAAACTAGGGAATGTCAGGGTCTTTTCTGCATTTATGAGCACTGACTCTGGCTACTGTATGTGAGGAACAGATGGGGAGAGGCTGAGGGCAGCAGAGAAGGCAGGAGAAAGCTCCCACGGTGGTCCAGGCAAGAGATGAGGGGCTGGACGAGGGCAGTGGACGTGGGGCTGGAGGAGAGCGGATGGAGCGATGTGCAGGGTCATCGGCAGCTCTTGCTGATGGACGGGAGTGGGTGCGGGGGAAGAGCACCCCAGGCGGGGCTCCCGTTGCCAGCACTGCAGCGCGTGGAGGAGCGCCCAGCCCCCCGCGTGGTTTGTGGCCGGGGTCGCGCCATCTCCCCCTCCTCGCCCACCAGGTCCGCACTGCTGGACGAGAAGCGGCGCCTGGAGGCCCGGATCGCACAGCTGGAGGAGGAGCTGGAAGAGGAGCAGAGCAACATGGAACTGCTCAATGATCGTTTCCGCAAGACAACTCTGCAGGTGCCCGCGCAGCTGCCTGTCCCCGAGAAAGACTGCGCCGTGCTGCCCTCCAGGCACACGTGACCAGGCCCCGTCTCCTCTCCAGGTGGACACACTCAACGCAGAGCTGGCGGCCGAGCGCAGTGCTGCCCAGAAGAGTGACAATGCGCGCCAGCAGCTGGAGCGGCAGAACAAGGAGCTAAAGGCCAAGCTGCAGGAGCTGGAGGGTGCTGTCAAGTCCAAGTTCAAGGCCACCATCTCAGCCCTGGAAGCCAAGATAGGGCAGCTGGAGGAACAGCTGGAGCAGGAAGCCAAGTAAGAGATTTTGCTGCCCTAAGCCAAGAATGATTGTCTGCTACAGACTAGGCTCAGCCTTGTGAGTCAGGGACGAGTCAGACATGCCCTTTGCCCTCGGGGAGCACACCACTGCATGGGGAAGAGATGACAAGAACACGCTGGATCAGGTAGGAGATAGAGAGTGGGTTAAACTGGAGGAGAAGTGCCAAGAGCATCAGGAGCAAGGAGGACAGATGGTTCTGGTGAGTGGGTGGGGAAGCTGGGCCTGCCTGCCAGCCCATCTGGGCTCAACTGGGGCTAATTCACACTATGCCCCATCATTTCCTAGGTTCCACACGTCATTTACATCTCTGCCGGCAGTCTGTTGTCCAAGTGGGTGGCATCATGTGAACATGCCATGATTTGCAGAAAGTACTGAAACTGACAGCTCTTCTCTCATAGGAAGGGGTGCTTCCAGCTTCCACAGCTGCTTTTGTTGTATTAAATCGCTGTGGAACTTGAGAGGAACCGTGCATCACTGCTGCTGGCCCGCCTGTCCATAGCAGCTAGAATCCAGGAACGTCAGTGCTAGTGCAGACCTTCCGATTCAACCTCTTGGTGGGGCGGTTGTGGCCCTACTCAGAATCCAACATCCCAATCCTCCCACTCTACTCTTGCAACTCCACTGGGTGAAAAGAAAACAAGGCTTTGGAGTTTTTAAGTGACAATTAACATGACTTGCTCTTTTAACTGACTCCATTGCTATCCATTTTTGCATAATATTTATTGAAAGGAGAACTCTTTGGGCTTTTCTCAGAGTTCTCCAAATAAGTACCTCTCCTACACGTGGGACAGTGTAGGCCCATCTAGAAACACGGTGTTGTGCCTGACTTGCAGCTAGTGAGTGACTGGGGGGTGTTTTGCAATGTTAGCTGCTGTAGTCTCTAGCATGGGAACAGGTAGTCAGTTTTAATTGAAATGACTGCTTAATAAATTGGAGTTTTGGCACATTTTGAATTTTATTTTTGTTTCATTTGAATTTTCAGGCTAACAGATTAGGGAATGATGAGACTAACCAAGTAAGGTTTTGTTTTCAAAAAGTCTGTTGAATGAATAGGTAGCTTGTATGGAGCATTTACAGTTCAGATGATCACTGAATAAAGTGATCGCTACAGCGTGTGCAGAAATGCACTTGTGTCTACCTGTCAGCACCGAGGAAATACATGGAAGGCAATCTTATTTTGACCAGAAAGGCCCTGTGAGGCCCTCCAACATGTATAATCCTACAAAGAAAAAGAGGACTGAAAAAAAATACCTTCCCCATTCAAAACATCATTTCAAGAATTTTGGCATTAAAGCGTTGGTCCATTTTCTAGGGAACGAGCCGCCGCCAATAAACTAGTGCGTCGTACCGAGAAGAAGCTAAAGGAAATCTTCATGCAGGTTGAAGATGAGCGTCGGCATGCAGATCAGTATAAAGAACAGGTAAGAAAAGGGGTGAACCATCTTCTGTTTTGGAAGCGCTTCACCAAAGAGAGTGATACAAAATAAGCTGAGTAGTCCAGTTTGGCGAAATTCAGAAAGTTCTGCTGTGTGAGCCTGATGTCTCAGCAAACTTGTGCTGTTGGTGTTCCCGCCGGGCACTCCTGGGGCTCGGGGAGCAGAGATGAGAGGCTGCTAGCCCCGCCCTCCTGGAGCTCCTGCAGGGGCCTTCTCAGCACCCTACAGATAGGCACAGACTTCAGAGGCACACCGAGGTGGGGTGGCCAAGAGAGCAGGGCTTTGCAGAGCGAGGCCTGATCTGAGCATTAAAGTTACTGTCCATTTCCTCACTAGAACGTACGCTTCCTGAACGCAAGAGTGCTTGCCTGTTTCTCACCGTTGTGTCCCAGATGCCGGAAGCAGGCCCTGGACACAGTTGGTAGTCATTAAATACTAGATGGACAGGGGCAGGCGCAGGAGATGTTGACCAGAAAGGGAAGAGGAAACAGATGTGCTGTGAGGGACCAAATGTTGTGTTGTCTGTATCTAGACACCTTTTTCCTAAGTGTCAAAGGAGGAAGTTAATAGAACTTTGGGTTAGGTCCACGTTGGATGGGTAGCCGATTTCCCACAGCCTCTGTCCCCTCTGCTGTGATGAGACTTAATGGCTGCGGACCCCAGAGCAGGCGGTGGACAGCTGAGGCTTTTGCTGGCTTCTGCTCAGACTCGCCTTCTCCTGTTGCAGGCAGGCACCCCAGCCTTCCCTTTCTTTCCCACCCGCAGGGCCTTGCAACACTGAGGCAGTTCTTTGTGGGTGTGAGCCGGACCCATGGGCACTGGCCAGTCTCCTATGGCTCAGGAGTGAACAATCCAACCAGAGGCTCTTGGTTCTTTGTCCAATCTTCCCAGGGGGGCTCTGGACTCAAATCAAAGTCTAACGTCTGAAACACCCAGACTTAAAAATAGGTGTAAAAGCACATCGTGCACTCTCCTACGATTAGGGATTGGCCAGCTTCTTGGGTCGTCTGCATTTTGCAGGCATCGCAGTTCCCTTTCCCAGTGCCATAGGTTGATCTGTGAAGATACTGTACTGTGTCATTTTTCTGCAGAAAGTTCACGAATGAAAATGAAGTTTCAATTTTTCAAAAAATTTCCTTGAACATAGATAATAGATGGCAAGTAGTTGCTTTGTCGATAGTGGCTTTGCCAAGCTTGACAGGCAGATCAAAAAACCCTCGACCAGCCGCAGGCCTGGCTGTGCATGAGCACATATGCAAACGCTCGCACGTGTGTTCATGTGGCTGACGAGCAGAAGATTGTTGACCTTCAGGGCTCAGTGATGCCGAGTTGAGGTTCACTAGGCTGGTTTGTCTTATTCATGTAACTTCCTGAAGATGGAGAAGGCCAATGCCAGGATGAAGCAGCTTAAACGTCAGTTGGAGGAAGCAGAAGAAGAAGCTACACGTGCCAACGCATCTCGGCGTAAACTCCAGCGGGAACTGGACGATGCCACCGAGGCCAACGAGGGCCTGAGCCGCGAAGTCAGCACCCTCAAGAACCGGTTGAGGTGAGCATGAGGACTCCGGGAATGGCCGGCTCGCGGGGAGCCTGCACCCAGAGCCTGCAGGCAGACTCGGGCTTTGAAGAATGTCAGATTCTTGCCTGTTAAGTGTCTTGAATCATTTCCCGTGTTTATCCATTCAGGATCTGACATTTACAGTCATTGGTGGGAAGAGGAGGAACAGGCCCACTCATTGTCCTTGTCATTCACAAATGCCAGTAAATGCTAATAAATGGCAGGAGGCCTGAACACTAGGACCAGTGTCTGTCACTTTTCAGCCTGCATTAGTGAGGTCCGGCTTCCATTAGAGAGCAGGGCAGGAACCCCTCACAGGACCGTTGGCAGCCCTCCTCGGCACATGCCTGTCTCCACACTGGACTC